CCCCATAGCCCCACTTATAACTACCCATGAACCTCCAAGTACCCTAAACCCTAAACCCTAAACCCTAAACCCTAAACCCTAAACCCTAAACCCTAAACCCTGACCCTGAACCCTAAACTACCCATGAACCTCCCAGCAAGGAAGCAGAAGGAGTCTTACTTTCAGAAGAAGCGGTGCCTTGGCAGCGCCCCATCCTCCCCACAAACCAAAGGCTCCATGTACCTTTATAGTAGTTACTTAAGCCTTAAAGGGGTCCCTATATAGGTACTTTAGGGCTTAAGTATCTACTATAAAGGTACATGGAGCCTTTGGGAAAGACACCGCAGGGCACGAGCAGGGCCAGACTTCAAGCGCTGGGTTTAGGGCTTTAGGGTTTAAGGCTTAGGGTTTATAGTCCAAAGGCTCGTGGTAATGATTTCGATGGAGTTTTGCACGCTGCGGATGTATGAAGAAACTCCGTGAGCGAGCTCTTTGGTCCCAAGCATCCCTCGAAAAAGAATGCCCGATATCTTCACTCCGACCCTCAACAAGTCACCCCATTCCGTCGAGGCTTGTATCAGCATTCGACAGGTTAGTTGAAACGACAGCCACCATCTCCTGGACATCCAACCGAAGCCCGAGACAAAAAGCGAATCCTTAGACCAGCAAGCCTAACGACCCGAAATAAGGCATCTCCCCCAACCCGCAAGGATCAATGTTATTTCAAAGGCTTGTAAGGCGTCATCAGGGGCAAGGCCCTTGAACTGTGGACATGGAGACACCGAAGACCCCCTTCTCAGGCTAGTCATAAATTTTGACTTTTTTGGACAGCAGAGGCTCGTCTTGGGGGGTCTACCGAGACATCCTGAGGGCCTTGGGAGTGTGAATCCAAGACCAACTTTCGCATCGCCATACATCCGCACGCACGGAAGGTTATTCATTGAGCTGTTGCAACTAGGAGCCCTGCTGCTGGAGCATAGTCGTCCGCCACACGTGCCGATACTACGTTGTGTATAAGCATGTCTACTTCCAGCGTTGTAGAATGGGCTTTTCCCTGGCGTCTCCATTTCATGATCATACACGAATGTTCGATCAGTAAGACCTAGAGATTTCTGGCAGTGCGGGATTGTGAAATGTTGGAAAGTTAGATCAACAAGAGCTGTTGATCTGGCACAGCATGACAGACATGCTGAGATCTGCGGGCAAGTTGCAGTGTGGTTCATGTGACTCTGTACGTCGGAGAGTGCTTTGTGAATGTACGTCTACGGTTTCATAATGCGGGTGTCCTGAGAGGTTCTCAATTTTATTCGCACCGGCGCAGTTCAGACCTATTCAAGCATCCTAAACCCAGATATGGCCAGACGTCTCACAGCTGTGGCGCTTAAGTCTTCTCTCAGGTGCTGCCGGCGCCGGAGTGCGGACGATCCAACGGAAGCTTTGGATGAGGCAGCGGGGCTGAGGGCTGTACCATCGGCTTCAACGTGCCCTATAGCCACTACTAGCCTTTTTACTGTGCCCGACACAGTTCGAGGGGGACACCGCCTCGCCCAGAGGTTTCTGGATGAGTCTTAGCCGGGGTATCAAACCAACACTTGTTGTTTCCGCCAGCGCAGGCCGGCTGTGAACTACCTCTTAATCAGCTGTCGGAGATCTCGGCAGCTGCTGCTGCTGCTGCTGCTGCTGCTAGTACTACTACGACGACGACTACTACTTCTACGTCTACTTCTTCTTCGAATTCTCCTACTACCACCTACTACTACTACGACGACGACTGCAACTACGACGACTACTGCTGCTGCTACTGCTATTACCTTCACTACTACTATCACTACTACTATCACTACTACCACTACTACTACTGCTGCTGTTGCTGCTGCTGCTACTACTACTACTACTACTACTACTACTGCTCCTGCTACTGCTACTGCTACTGCTGCTACTACTGCTACTACTACTACTACTACTACTACTATTACTCCTACTACTTCTACTACTACTACTACTACTACTACTACTATTACTACTACTACTGCTACTACTACTACTACTGCTACTACTACTACTACTACTACTACTACACTTCGACGACGACGACGACGACTACTACTATTATAGCACCCCCCCCCCCCCACAACCCCCTGGCGCCTAGACCCATCATCGTCATCATCATCGTTGGTATTGGACTACAAGTACTGTAAATACCGAGTGAAATGGATGTGCTTGGAAAAAGTACATCATCATTCCCCCCCCCAACAGTGGTTGGTATTGGACTACGACATCACGAATGTATTGTTAACACCGAGTGAGATGGATGTGCTCTTAAACAGTGTTTAGGACAAGTGGTTGGTAGGAGGGGGGCTACTACTATTATTATTAGCACTAGTGCTAGGACTACCACTACTACTACTACTACCACTACTACTACTACTACTACTACTACTACCACCACGACGACGACGACGACGAGGACTACTACTACTACTACTACTACTACTACTCCTGCTGCTGCTGCTACTGCTACTGCTACTGCTACTTCTTCTGCTGCTACTACTACTACTACTAATATACTTACTGCTACTGCTACTGCTACTACTACTACTACCACCACCACCACCACCACCATGCCGACGATGAGTACTACTACTACTGGGTGACAAAACTACTAGAACAACTGCTACTACGACGACGACTATTGCTGCTACTACCTACTGCTGCTACTATTACTACTACGACGAAAACCAAGTACTACTACCACTACCTACTACTACCACGACTCCGACTACGACCCGCAGCGGATATTCAACACTGCTAGCAGTAGAAATATCCGTAGTCGTAGATGAAGCCTTTTCTCGAAATGGGTTAGTGAAAGGGGCTAGGCTGCCACAGATTGTTGTGCGCAACAGTTTGCCCCGGTATTTCGCAGCTGCCTCCGAGCCTTACTATGTTTTCACATCCATCGTGCCAAAGATGTTTTTTTTCGTGGTCTCTTTGTGTGGACTTGCCAGCATTGATCACAGTAACCAGTAGGTGTCTTTGCATATGCCCTCCACATCTTCCTGCCGTAGCATCACCGCTTTGTGGACATCCGAGTGCTTTGGGTACTTCCCAGGAGTCATTTTGTTTGCCGACGTTGCAAGTTACTGCAGCATCGGGTTCACGTATTTGGTTGTTGGAACCTTCAACGACCTAATCGCCCCAGATTCCTTTTTTATTTGGGAACCGGAACCCAAAAACTCGCAAAGCCCCAACCTGCTGACCAGCCCGAAACCACAAACACTTACCCTGCCCCTCATCTTGTGTCCGTCCGCAGGGCGCAGATGACGAAGAGGCGCGGAGCTGGGCGCTGGGACGGATTTAGGGCTATTCAGGAGTTCTCGTATCTGCTTCGATTCGTCCGCAGGCTTCCATGATGTAGCTTCTGTTTTGCGGTTCAAGTAATCTGGTGCTAGAAGGCATGGCATGGCGTGCCTAAGGTAGACAACATAGGCATAGGGATAGATATGCTCATCTCGGTGACAAATCCGAAACATCCACTCAATCACCGTAAGCATCCCTACTGCTGCAGTAGTCCTGCAGAGGAGCACAGGCCTCTGTTATGCCCATGCGGCAAGCCCGTCGAATCAAATCCCGCCAAACACAGTTTAGCCCGAAACGTTTTGATTTCATATACGCCATATCCCGAAAACAAGGACTTTTTAGGCCGACAACAAACAGCCCCGCGCACACACACAGACACAGGCAGAGAGAGAGAGAGACACACAAAAACACTAGACAGAGGCACACACACGGAACCCTGCTACCCTCAGCCCACAGCCAGAGTACAAATAGTTGCCCTCACCCTCAGCCTAAACACGCCAAACTTCAAGCCCGAGACCCCCAAGGCCCTGCATCCTAAGCCTTGAGCCTCCCCCTTAGCCCCTAGGCCTTACACCCCAAATCCTTTTTCGAAACAAGAGAGGGGAAACCCCATACCCAATAGAGCCCTTATGAACCCCGTGTAAAGTCCTTCATGGAGCGTTACGAAGCCTTTTCAAACACCCCTGAAACCAGGACTTTGGTGGCCTCTTGGACCTTTTCGAGCCTCCATGTTGGAAGGTTTAGGATTTAGGGTTTTAGGGGTTCAGGGTTTGCGATGCAGGGTTCAGGTGTGAGGGTTAAACCCTAAACCCCTGAACCCTAACCCCTGTTCTGAAGTGCAGATTCAGAAGAGGGCTGCTGGACCCCAGGGCTTCCGTAAGGTTGCTATCGGGATTGAAAGACGCGGGTCGGTAATGGGGTTATTGGAAAGTTATTGCCATGGTTACTATAAGGTGATGAGAATACTCTAGAGGTTACCAAAAAGTTTCTTTGGGGTTGACTATAAGGATACTCTATGGGTTATACTATAAGACAACATCGGCGGTGACGATAAGGTTTCTAAACAGGCTTTTTGCATTGTTTCTCGAAAAGTTGAGTTGCAGGATGGGTCACTTCGGCTCTCGAAGATTCGCATGTGGGGGTTTCCGAAAATAGGGGACCCTAGTATAGGACCCTAAATAGTAGGATCCTTCTTATAAGGACCCCAAAATAAGGTACCCCCAATTTTCGGAAACTCCCATGTGATTCTTCGAAGGTCGACTTAAGTCCTTGGGCTGTGCGGAGGCACGAAGGCTTGAGTCGCCCTGGGGTGCCATGCGTGACTATGTCAAGGTTTCGGTGTTGGGGGTTCAAGGGTATCAATATAGGGGCCTTCATAATTACCTATATTATATACATATATATATATATTTTTTTTTTTTTTTTTGG